ATTTTTGTACGGATATTTAATAGAACGACAGAACAAAATTATAATCGTTTTAAATAATATTAGAATCTTATTACAGGGACACTTAATATAGAAATTAAATAATATAAAACTTATCAGTTTATATAACGCAGATTTTTTTTTATATGATACATTATTAGTTATAAATCTTTCAATTAAACAAGAAAAACAAAAAGTACACATTTGTCATGTAACAGCTAAAATGTATCTACAAAAAAATCAATAAATGAACTATCGCTACCGCTCATGTTTAGACCAATAAAACTACACACACTTCTCTCAAAGTAGTTAGTAGCCAAGCATGGAGGTATAGGAGAGCCACAATTATTCCCAACACTACTATTCATACACCTTCTGTGCAGAATGCAAATACTTCAAACTTTTGTTGCTCAGAACCATTGTTTTGTCTGAATAACTTCGTGATTGTTGCCAATGAAGTGAAGTTTTAGAGACTTATATATTGCTTCTGTACATTGGATAGACAAAACTATTCGCTATTTTATTTTTCTTTACGACTTTAAAATCGATACTGACATCTCGATTATTTTACTGCACGTTGGCTCGATGGCTAAGCAACCGGCTGCCGCGCAACGTTTGGCGGGTTGGATTCCCGACACAAACAACAACGAAACAACTCTTTGTGTGATCCTTAAAATGTTTGTTTTGGGTCTGGGTCTCATGTATGAACTTATATTTGTAAACGCACCCACGGTACAGGAGAAAATCCTAGTGTGGAGCAACGTTTAAAAAAATCGATAATGTTATTTAGGGATGTGAGATGACACCTATTTGAATATTAAATTTATGAAATTATTTTCGATAAGTTTTTCAACTACAGGAATGTAATTAGATTGACGCAGGACCTTTGCTTTTTCGATCTTTACATATACTTATGTATCTATTAAATAGGTATAATATTTGTAATTGCATTCTCTCTAGCCTTGTTGTTAACACATAACAAAACATGACCTTTAACAAAACGTGGTCTTGCAGCATACATACACACTCGTGACAGACCATTATTCTGGGCGTCGCATTGTCTCTAGCTAAATGTAAATACATTATTTAATCTTCAGAGACAATCTCCAAACTGACAGCTAATATACCCGCTGAATGCAAGTCACGAATAAAACCAATATCAGGAATCAGGATGTTGATTTGAAAAACATGTAAATAGGGGCACGATGTGGGGGTACTGACGCAGCTTTCGTATGAATGTCACATCGACTTTCTGAAGGAGATTGATTCTATTAACATGTTTGCGAAGGGCTAGCTTTAGTATATAGGTGGTGGAATTCATAACATATTTTGCTACGGTAAATGTACATCAGTCCAGTTGTCATTAGGGAGTAAATCTAAAAATCAGAGATAGATAAAAACTCCATGCTAATATCTTGAGAAAACAGAATCTTAGCAGGTTGTAGTGTGAAGTTTAATAAAAGTTTTTCACAATCCAGGAATTAAAACTGAAGGTTTATGATCGATGGTAACAATTCTGACTACTCGACTTACAAGAACTTGGGTATTAAAAGGTATAACGTGAGAAAGTAGTGCCATAATACCTTCAAATTTAAATAAATAGACAGTTCTTTCCAAATACATTTGTTAATAAATTACCCATAGAATTTAACATAAACAAATTTGAATTATCATTTTGTAATAAGATATACGTAATGAAATTACAATAATGTGGCCAACGGCTAAGTTATCGAATATGCTGATAGAGCTGTCAAATTTATCAGGTGTGGATTGTAAATATACAGATTAAACTGGACCTGTCAAATTCATTACGACCGATCCGAGTTTAATGTATAGATTTCACAAGATTTATGTATATATAGTACGTAAAGTAGCTACGACCTTTTTGACCGTAGCCAATCGATATTGAAAATAAATCGAGATTTGTATTTCAAAAAATGGGTAGGTATTACACACTATAGGACAACTTTAGTATGAGACAAGAATCTATATAAATGTAAGGAAAAACAAGCTCCAATCTCATACTTTCGCAGCAACTTTTATGAAACTACAAGTACATCTATCAAAATAAAACCAAAGCATAATTGGATGAGATTATGGGATCAGAACAACATGGGGTGTTTATCGCTAGCATTCCTTAATAAAGTTCAATGATATCAACTTATGACGATTCCTATGCTAATGTAACAACTCTTGCTCTTGTAAAATATTATAATATTTTCGCCGTTGGACTAAAAGAAACGAGAAGAATCGCAATCCCTTATTTCATCCCTTATTTGCATTAATATTTCTTTGTTATTACAACTCGAATTGTATTGAATATTTGCATTGCAAAATACGTTCTATGTACTTATCGTTAATGATCCTTATAGCAAAGTTGTTTGAAACTATTTCTAGTATGCGTCAGTGTCTTATCGCAGCGAGTAATTGAGTAAGTGGTTGAGTCAACTGAGAGAAACTGGGTCACTTAATTAATATAGGGGGTTGCAGTTTCTCATGATGTTCATAGATACCTACATTAACTAGCAAACACAAGTCTCCAGTATTATTTAATTAAGGAAAGTAAAGCTAGTACGAAAATGTAGTTACTACTTCAATATTATCCTTCAAAATATTCATTTCTAACTAAAGAAGAAGTTCGCGTTTTCCTATTTCTTCCCGATCCCCTTTATCATTTGATACGTACAAGTGTCGTTTAACCCAAAAAGCCGCGAGTGTGAAACTCAATGGTGAGAAAAACTGAAGGCGTGTGGGGAACGGTTCAGTAAGAAGATAGCGTTTGTACACAAACGAACGACTTGTCGCAAATAAACAATAAAACCACTAAAAAGTGATTAAGATAAAAAAAAGTAATGAACGAATGAATGAGGTATTGGATAAGATTTCGCGTCGGTTGATGTTTTCATGTAGCGGTTTGGGTATACCTCTAAAGCTGTTTTTCATCTAACCTATTCTGTATTAAAACGTTTACGCTTCTTAATTTTTTTACGAATATAGAACCTATGAGAAAACCTAAACTAAATTCCAAAATCTATAACAGCAGTAATTTAGTAAATTTATAGAAAAATTAACACTTTACCAAAGAGTGTAAGTGTTGATTCTACAAGTTTTAGATTTTATCCAACATTTGTATCAGACTTCCTAATACCATTCGATGTAAAACACCAAGCGGTCACCGGTGACCGCAACCTATTGTTCTATAATTTTATCTACATAGACGGTACCTACTCGACGAGTTAAATAATTAATATAAATTAAAATCCTTTAACGTAATTAGAATTACATAGGTATCTACTTTTTAGGCCTTTTTATCTGATAAGAAAAAAATATTTAACCCAAATTCCGTACCCTTTTTCATAAAGTCCGTAAAAACAATGTCGTTGCGTTTTTTCTGCGCACGTCTGCAAAATCCCTTCAAGGGTAGACCTAACGTGAAATTAGAAGGGAAAATAGGACGAGATAATTGTGCCTCCTCTAACCCCTCTCGCCCTTCCTCCCAGCGGCCCTCGTTACTGAGTTTAATCTGTTTAAACTTTTATTTACTTCCGCTAAATTGAAGCGATTAGCAGCCAGGGCGTTTCTATGAAAATGTTTCTGTTTTAACGATGTACCAAATTAAAGATTCTCAACTTATTACACAATACAAACGAAATATTCGAGGAATTTCATCATTGTCTTCTGTCCTTCCTTGTTTTTCGAAATTGTGTACCTTTATTGAATTGTACGAATTCAATCTATTCTGAGAGGTCGCTCGGCGGATATGTGGGTCGACGACATTGTAGATATCGCAAGGACAGGTAGGGAAACCGGGTACAAATGGTACGATATGACGTACATTTCCTATCTACATGTCTGGGCATATGGTTTGAAATTATTCTCTGTGTCACGTAGACCAAATAGATTGTATGTAATGCCTTTATTTATAAATCTCTTGATATTTGTGTACATGTTTATAGGTCCGTATTCATTTCCTTGGCATTTTTCTTTCTTAATGAAATAAAAGATGGATTGATTCCAACAAATTACATTTATCTGAAAGTAATTGAAATAAAAATGTATGTAAAACCGTATTTAGAGTTCATTGCCATTATCTCTTTACACGTTGGATTTCAAACAACAAACCTCAAAGTATTCGACATTGAGTTATCTTCAATCGATATTATGTAAATTGTTTGTAGATTCATTTACATTTGAATATCTGCATAAATTTATATCAACACATGCTACATATTTTATCGAGTAGGTATCTATCTGAATAAAATTAGGGTTTTGATTAACATTTTGTCATAATTATTTCGAAAAATATAAGTTATGATGTAGGTTGATCCACCACACGGTATGATTGGGTTCGTACATACAAATTGTGCTATAATTTAAAGTTTATTCCACTGCTGACAACCAATGTATGCTGTGTAGATATTTTGAACATTTTCCGGCACCGCGCGATTCGATCCGTACATTTGGAGGTCATTGCACTGTATTTTTACATGTTTGGATCTGATTTTTTGTTTTGTAATTCTTACTTCAGTTGAAACTGTCAATATAATCAACAAGGATAATGAGCCTAATTTATTTGATATACCTTTTTTAATAGTTTAATCCGTTCAATTAGTAGTACAAGTTTTGAATATCAAACATCGAATTATTCAAAAATAAAAAGAGAAAGTCAAAGTTCCCACAGAGTCAAACCTTCTGCATCAAACTCTATTCTCTAAAATGCATGCAGATGCAATAGCCGTCGTGTCGGCCATGTTACCGACCCGTCTCTGATAGTCGTCCCTCTGCACCCTATATTCGTCTCTTTCTTTCATATTTAAAATTATATCTCGTTGTCTCTCCCCCCACGGGAAACATACACGAAATTAGGGCAATACGCATGCGCGGCGTGTCAATGTCAAATCAATCCTCGTAGGCTGATGCAATCGGTTACACACAATTTACTAGGATAGTTACAAACGAGTTGGGGCAATTAATTAATGCTGTGATTCCTTTTTTTTTTTCAGATAAAACCGGTTGTCGGTTGGATTCTTAGAAGAATGGACGCAGTGCTACGAGTGTGGACGGTATGTTTGAACCATTGTTTGAATGCTATTATGAGTAGGTATAAGGAAAGGCCCGCTGTTTTAATGTCGGCGTATGCTTGCCCTCTTGGCCTATTTGCAAACAGGGAGTGTACCTATTTCTGTTCCACTAAAAACGCCATAATAAATACCTGTAACACTTTCATTTAGTAATCTACAGATAAATAGTAGATAGAAATATGTTTTGGGCGTATTAGGTAGAACATTTCCTAAAAGTCAAGCACAAATTGCTGTCAAAGTAAATTTCTTTTAATTTGATAAACACTATAAGCGACATAGCAAAATTGCATCTCATCAGAAACAAACAATAACATGATTGAATAATATCTAAATATAGGTACCACCTTCACAGGACACGGCGAGTTAGTTAAATATTTAGTCATAGACCGGGAGCCAACGACCATATTTTTACGAGTGGCAAGAACGTCCTCATTACTATCTTATTACGTAGCGTGTCGGCCGAGCCACGAGCCGCAACACATCCAATTTCCCAGCTTCCCATTTATTGATATTGACTCTACGAGGACGCTTCGTGAATGCCTCGGTTACAGATATTGTAGTAAATGGATGCGCCACCCACGGTACGTAGGTTATATGCCACCTTTAGTACTATGCTTAGACGACCTTAATGTGTATATTTTAAATGACATTTTGTGTGTCTCTTTTGTTTACATACGTAAATAGAATTTTTTTTTTTTTTTTATTCGTTGTCTTTCGGTCAGTGCAGTAGGTTGTGAGATGAGATGTGTGTCTTCAAATAAGTACTTATCATGTTTTCTGTCTACCTACTTCGCCTTCGTATTTTATGTCAGTTGATTTCAGACAACAAGGTTGCATGTAAACTGACCAAAGTGTAGGTATGGTACGTCTTACGTGTATTTACGGTTGTAAACAACGACCCTGACCTATGTGGAACTCATAAAATACATCACAGTGCATAGTTACTGAGCGGCGTGTATGCTAGCGAATGTGTGCCGACGGAAACATTTTGTTTGCGTACTTTCTGTTGATTACTTAATACAAAATGATTTTGTCGTGGACAGAACTTTTACTACGTATTGTACTATTTGTAGGTGTTATTGATAGGTGTGGTGTATATTACTTTTATTCCAATGGATTGGAAAAATTGAATTACCTTCCAGTAAAAATTGAAAAATCGTTGCAATTTTTAATTTTGGTAAAAGCTAAGAGTATAAATAATAGTGTATTTTGTTTTGTGCCATTAGTTAGTTATGAATTGTAATATATTTTATGCCAAAAACTATAAATAGTACCGAATCTAGTGACATTTTTATATCTTTGTAAGTCATATTTGGCGGTATCACTTATTATCATCAAACCTAACGCCGGATAAGCTTGAACCGATACGTGACTTGTGAAAAATAGTCATTTCAACCTCGCTTTCCCCCCAAAAAGTTCGTATTATTTCACCCCCTCACGCATAGAATTGATAGAAACATATCTTACTATGCAATCCCCTAGAAAGACGTAGAATATGATTGGTAAGTTGATTAAAATTTTCTACAAATTTCGTACATTTTGCTAGCAAAGATTTAAGAGTTAAAATGTTTCAAATTCATTAGGTGCGCTTGTGAATAAACTTCACCAACTAATAATGTAGGAACCTTTGCCACAAAGTTCTTCAAAAAAGAGAAGTGTAAGTAGCTATTCTGTTTTCCATTTTTCCCAAACCTAATCTCAGTACCAAATAACAACAAACTTGGAACCAAATCCTAAGATTCGTTTCGTGTCTCTACCGTTATTGCTGTCGCCATCGATTTCAAGAATTAAACCTCTTACAAGTCGCATAACTGCCAAACTTGGGCCAACATTTGCTAATCCGGGTTAAGAACATCGCCAATTCGTCCACAAACTTTGCGAGATAAAAGTACCCAACTAATATTATAAGTAAGACCGAGCTAATCTTACACTAGGACATTTAAACCGACAGTATCTTATTCAAAACTTTTACACTTTCCTGTTTATAAAATTATTTGTTCTACGTTTTGGGTTTAGTTAAAAGTTCACGGAACTGTTTGACGAAAAACTCGACTGGTTTCAAGCCACGCTAGGGGCTCTTATCCACAAGAATGCGAAAATCTGTCTTTTTGTTTTCTACTTAATTAACAAAACGTTTTGTATATGGGCTATGTTCACGTAGGTGATTTATCTTGATTAAAATATTGTCACTGTGGGCACCTAACACCCTCTGCATAATACAATGTATAAGCTTGCACCTACATGCATATGCATTGAGTGTTTAACTCGTAACGAGGACATATATATCTAATTTGCATACAAGGAAGACTGTACATATTAACCTACATCATTTCTATATTATGCAGTTGAATTTTATTATGTTTCAATAAAAAAATGTACTTCTTAATTACATGATGAACTGAACGAGGTATTTAAGAATAGTAGCAATTGGCGGTCCACAGTCTCTGCCAACCCCATGGGAGAAAGGCGTGAAGTATTACATATATAGTTCTTAATGCCGCAGGGTGGGTCCCATCCTTTATAACTATTCTAATGTTTAAAATTACTACTTACTTAGATACAATACTTTTTTTCAAAGTACTTAGAAACAAAGAGTGTAAAGAATAATAAATCTATTATCTGTATTCCCCTATGTACAAACTTGTACTACCTTTAAGAACATACTACACAAGAAGCTCGTGCTCGCAAGGTTAATAAAAATATAGATACCTATCGGACCATAAATAAAACACGTGTATCAGTGCCTGTAGACGGATATTATGTAAGCAGGCAAGCGCAATTGATGTAATAAATAACAAAATAATTATTCTCCATCGAGCAATCATGTTTATTGGACTACAAAGGGACCGACTCGGTTCACGCGACTAATGAGAATGCTCTACTCCGTATTACTACGGTCTACGGTACGATGTTTCTTGATACTTCCTTAATTAAATATAAATGCAGCCTTTATCATTATGCAAGTGTTAGTTTATTTTATTTTAAATCGACACTATGTTTGAAGAGCTAACTGTATCTATTACCTACGTTTAATAACTTAGATAACTGCTACAGTAGCGCAACATTTTAAAATCTATAAATAGAATAATTTCTTAACTGATTTAGGTAATAGGTAAATACGCAAACTACTATTTATTAACCATTTTATAAAAAAAGAAATAACAACAAAACTGTGAGAAAAAGACTTAGTCAATCCACAAAGGCGATAAGGCGCGAATCGCGATTCAATTAGTATAAAATAAAGGCAAAATTATACTTGTCAATCGTACCGCGGCTTACAAAGGGTTATTTATCGCTTATTCGATTCATAAACATTGAAATTTACTTATACGGCTGATTGACACGAATAGTAGGTACCTATTTCTGTACAGGCTCTTATCTTCGCCTCCCATCGCTTGGGTTGAAGGTACTGAAAGTAAAGTCAGTCTGTTTGTTTACATAATAATACAGTTAACATTCATTCTGATTTCATTCGCGATTTCGATGTAAAGTTCGATGTTTGCGCGATCGATTTTTATCGAACGTCTATATTTTCATTTTAAGTTAATGTTAGACTATTTTTGTGTTATATTTTATACATATACAATATTCATTTATATACACATAATATATTATCTTTGAAAAGGTTGAATGACCACTTTCTTATTTATATTTTTGGCAAAGCTAAAATAATTATTAAATATCACTACGCGCGATCAAAAACTAATATGCATATTCGTTTACATCTAATTACCTACATAATATAAACTCAAATTCGGGTTCGGTTCGAAATTGGAATCTGTCTGTCAAAGCGGAATGAAGCGAGCCAATCAGAGATAAATAACCGTTGGGTCCGCGAGCGTGGCCCGTTTCATTTGCATGTCAATGATGCGCGGGGTGAAGGGGGAAGGGGAGTGAACCTGCAGGTACAATGCCTTACCTGACATAATGTGATAGGACTGTTTTTGGTCGATCATGTCACTGACATGTGGTGTTTAGCTATAAACTTGATAACATTAAAGGCGTGGTTAGAATGACGATTTCCAATATGACCTCTAAATCACACTGAACTTTCAATCAACATTATTTTGTTCTCACAAAATCTTCTTGAAGAAACTTTGCAAAATATTTTAGAGAAATTTAACAGAGCCTTATTTTTGCAACTCAAATAAAGCTGTTGAGATCTAATACACGTTCGAGGAGCGGGTTCACGACCGCTTAGGTACACTTCAGTGTTGTTGAGTCGTGCCAAAATGTTCTGCACCACTGCTGGCCGTTGAGTATCTGAAAGAGAAATGTTTTTAAATTTAAAAAATAAAATGTTGAAGGTCTTTTAAGCATGAGTTACTTATTGTGCAAGGACCATAAATAAAGTATATGAGCTCTCGACTTTTTCCAGACGATTTTCTTAAGTACATATGTATGCAAACTTTTTTATATATTTTTTAAATGAAATTAAAAAAATTGAACTGTTTCGATAGCTAGTGCTCCATTAAGTTAAAATTAAAAATTGAAATCCAAGGAAGTCGTTAATATTAACACGGGATTCTAACACTACAATTTTACTACCTATTTTGTAGGAAAAAATATTTTATTGACCTTCTCCTTTCAAGGAATTTATAAAGACTGTTTTAAGTTACGGAGAACAGCTGAATGGTCTGACGTAATTTTATGTCAGGCACGAGTGGCTATGAAAGAGGATGTACAGTGACGTCATGCACTGCCATTATTGTACTGTCTCATGACATGCCGTGGAACTGAAACATTTATTATTACCTATCTACCAGTTGTGGTCCAGTATATGAAGATTCTAGAAGAAATAAACCTATTGCATTTTGTAAATAAGGTCAAAAGTTTAGCATGCGCCATATGCTTGCATTACAGCTATGATCTTTATGTATTTATAATTTGGTTTTTCTTATTTCATTTACCTAACTTTAGAAACATATGCATTTAAATTAGTTAAATCAGGTCACTAGCACTTTTACATTAAAATAAATGTA